AGCCGTGTTAGCTTGTGATGGTAGCAGCCTGTATAGTGTCAGTGCTATGATGTAGCGCAAAGACGTGCACTCCGTAGGCGCCTTGAGTTCAAGCGAGAAAATCGGCTACTTGTATAGTGTCGGAGCGCTCGGAACCTGTCTTCAGCTCCTCAAGTATGCAATGTATGTAATGTACGTAATCCTAGCGTATAGCAAATGTATGTAATGTATGTAACGGATATAATGTGTGCCTTGTACAGGCAATGCAGAGTAATGCAAAGTAACGTGCTGTAATGACATGTAATGCAATGGGATGCAATGCGATGGATGGAGTGCAATGTAGCATAACGTGCAATGCCATGCATAGGAATGTATGGTCGTGTAATGTTATGTAAGACGTAGTGGAGCGTAGTGGGATGGGATTGGATATGACGTCATGTGGTGTGGTGAAATATTTGCATGATTTCATGTTGATATCCTGTCCGACATATCTGGAAAGAGATTCTGCCAACAGAACATATGATGTTTTCTCGTCCATTGACATGCCACGTGGTGCCGGTGTCCAGGCACCTACCCAGCGGTGTGGCCCCTCCTGAAGGCTGGCGCAGTGCTTCCGCCCCGCTTGTCGCACGGCTTTTGCCCCGAAGGATATGGTGACAACGAAGAATTAGTGACGAAGGCGCATTTTGGGGCGTTTGTTGCTGTGCAGACAACACCAACCACGAGACACCCCCACGCGCTCCACTCCACTTCCAGTCAGAGACAGAGAGTCTCGGCTCTTTGTCGCTCTGGTCCCGTGCTCCTTTGCAGGTCATGGCAGGGCTCTGCTGGCTTCTTTGCTGCATCTGCTGTTGCGTCGCCTGCTGCTTCCGTCAGAGCATCGAGGCCGGCTCTGCTTTGTTCCCCCCACTGTTCCGACGCTCCTTATATTTGGGCAGAGGCGGCAGTGGATTGCATCGAGGAAGCTTGCGAAGCTATCCAGGAAATGTGGGGAGCCCAGCCGCTGGAGACTTGAATCTTGTGTCCGAAGCGGCAGAGCTGTCAGGTCCTCCTTGCTCCTGGCACCCATCCTGAAGGATCTCCCGCCGCCAAACGGGGAGAAAAGACCGAGCTCCTTTGTCGCAGGCACTCGCACGTGCCCTGGTCTTCGGCTTCCTCCTCTACGGCTTTTTTGCCCTCTTGCCCGGAACTCTGCAGACGGGTTTGAGGACCCGCCAGCCGGAATGTGGGGTGTTGGCGCAGGTCCACAGCGCAGGTATCCAAACCGGCAGAGGACGGCGGCCTGGTCTACAGCCTGTGTCTCATCTTCCCATTCTTCACCTCTGTACACAGCCGCCGTTAAACAGCCGCTTTCCTCAGATGCCGTCAGCAATCAGATGGAAGGAGCCCGCGGCTTCAAAAACTCGCAGCTGCAGCTCCGAACTGTCCGAGCTTCCTTCCGCATGAGGTAGCGCGCCACTTCCAGTTCACGACGAAGCAGAAGCTCTTCCTTGTAGCGTACGTGCCGTTGTCTGAGCTCGGGTGCTCCAGCTCTAAACTGATACTGGTCCACACTGGTACATCCGATCAGGTTTGTGGCAATCTGGGTGGAATGCTGGCTGAATGCCCTGCCTAGCACTGACACAATGCGGCCTCTGTGACAGTTTTTTGTTCAAAGTGTCCTTGAGGTTCCAGTTCATCATCGCCTATGCCATGGCCTGTTGCCCAGTGGCTCCCAGCGAAGACACGGGAGAGGGGTCCGGGTGCCCTGAAAGGCAGAGTATCACCTCTCTCCGAAAGACAGCGAAGGCTACAAGGCCGGCCGGGCAGAAAGCGATTTTGGGAACTCCTGAGCCGAGCCCGAGCCCGAGTCGAGGTCATCGGCGGAGGCTGCTGTGCCCTCTTTGATGGCTTCCAGGACGGGGGAGAGTAGGCAAGGGAAGTCCTCGCTTTGGTTGTCCACGAGACCAGTGGAGCCGTGTTTATGGGCTTCTTACAAATGCAGGGCAGGGTGCCACCTGAAACGCGTGGGGGTAACTTACCCCGCTGCTTTTCCGATTCAAGAACAGCCGGGCCGAGGAGGAGGCTTCGCGTCAAGCGTCCAAGCAGACACTCTCAAACAACATACACACCATTTCCGGCTTCTCGAGTACTTGAAAACCATTCGAGATGAATGCTACAGGGGGCGGACCCGGTTAAGGAAGGGAGGGGATTCAGAGGTGGGAAACAGGGAATCGTTGTGGAACCTCTGACCGCGTCGGCCTCGGCGAATTATGGTACTGTCGCAGAAGTCATCAAGCTTTCCCGAGCCAGGCGCAGAAACTGAAGTTCAAGGTATGAGCAATGCGCGGCTTTGTGTATGTAGGTCGTCTCGACATGGGGTCTACAGATTTCAATCGCTCGAAATCGCAGCGTGTCCCACGTTCCTGTCATGCTGTTAGCAATCTTGTGAACTGTGTTTCACATCGCAGCTTTCAAGCCGACTTCGCAAGGTCCCAGAGGATTCGTCTCGTGCCTGTGCACTTAAAATGATCTACACTTCAGTGGAATCCTTTTCTTCTCACAATTTCAATGGACCGCAGATGGAGGCAGAAGGGGATGCAACCAAGATACCGGAGAGGGAACGCAGAGCGGGAGACAAGACAGCGAATGCGGGAAGGGTGTCTTGGTCCATTGAAAGTGCGTCGGAAGGTAGGATGTTTCCAGCACGGCGGTTCTCTGGCCATGGGCTCCTTCTTTGTGGCCATCTTCTGGGCCAGGGCCTCAACCCATGGAAACGAGCAACTTTTCTCCGTCCTCCTTTCGCGAGGTCTTGCAGATGTTAGTGGCGATCATGGATGCGTCGAACAAGGATGTACTGCAGATTCTTGGAACCCTTCTGTTGATTTCTGGAGTTCGGTTCG